ATCCAGCCCCTTCAGACCTCCAAACCACGATCGAAAACCATTTCCATATGACTAAGCTATTAAGGAGTTTAGCATATAGCACTGATTCCTGATCTTAGCTGAGCACCATTCTGATATCGCACAGAATCCTCTGTAGTGCCCATTTCCAGTCGGCACCCTCATGGAGGGTTCAGCCGGAGGATTTCTGCCGACCAATGTTATCTACTAGTAAAGTGCAAAACACCTCCCACGACACATTACGTTGTCAGTTGCAAAATAACGTGCAGCCGAAGTTATTTCCAAGCGCCGAACTACTCCGAGCGACTTTTCTGCATTATGCGTAACTTACTTTGTAAAGCGGCTCAGAGGTATGTCTGATACCAAATGTCTTTGTTAAAGTAAGGGAGATTCGTCAGTGACGTGGTTGTTGTTGTTGTTGTTGTTGTAGCGGCTACTAAGCCTCGTTCGGGGCGGTTCATCCATCAACGTTGTCGTCAATTTCAGCTAGGGGGAGGCCCAGGAAGTGTGCTACTTCCACAGGGGCTGTCCATAGGGACAGGGGCGTTAGCTGAGTGGGGTTCTCAGGGCATGTGAAGAGGTGCCGGGAGTCATGTGGCGACTCTTCACATGCCGGGCATTGGTTGGGCACATCCTCGTTAACTCTGCTCAAGTAGGAGTTGAGCCTGCTGCAATAGCCAGAGCGAAGTTGGGCTATTGTAGTGCGGGTCTCCCGAGGCAGACAAAGTTCTGTCCCGTCCACGTCCGGTGGTTGTGTGCCTAGAACGGCAATCACAGGGCGGGAGTCTACATAACTTGATACTGATTCCCTGTGAATGCCGTTCAGGTGAAGGGCAATACCTTACCAGCAACTTACCAGCATGAGCCGCTTTACAAAGTAAGTTACGTGTAATGCAGAGCAGTCGCTCGGAGTAGTTCGGTGCTTGGAAATAACTTCGGCTGCACGTTATTTTGCAACTGATGACGTAATGTGTCGTCGGAGGTGTTCATTTTGCGCTTTACTAGTAGATGACATTGGCAATGATGACAATTTTGGTACTAAAAACTGAAAGAAAACATGGCTTACCTCGTAAGGTGCTTACCTATTTTCCCAGTGGGCATGTAAACGCCGGATAAGGTAGATATACACATGATACAAAAGAGGTAGTTTCATTACTACTATTTTTTGATTATAAAGCACATTTTTGACATTTCTACAAATGTTAACATTAAGCATAGCTTTGCCACATTGGAATTTTTTGAGAAGGGAGATTTTTTTTTAATATATGGAATTCAATACAAGAGTAAAAAAGGCAAGTTGATGTGATCGATAATCAAATTTCAACGTTTTTCTCAAGCGTAATTTTATTACTTTTGAAGGATATCGATGTGCAGAGGTGGGGAAATAAAATAAAATTGAGTTTTTATACAATTATTTTTTTAAACCGAATAAACAAATTTACATACATATGTAACATGTAGCAAAACATTAATCTGTGTTGCAATTTTCTTAATTTCTTTGCTGAAGTTTTGCATTAGTCCCCTTGCAGATATATGTATTTCGTGCTTTTCCACTCAGGAAATAAGCAGCTCAATTTTTAGTTTCTTGATTAAAAATTTTAAAAAATATGTGTATATTTTTTCGCTATAGAACAATTCTAGGAGGTGAGTATTAAAATTCCGACTTTATTTTTTTTTTGACCACCCTAATGAAATCAAATGGTGACTACAGACCTATTGCGATTCTCCCATATCTAACTAAAGTCTTAGAACGCATAATGCATCAGCAGATTGACTCGTTTATATCTAAAAATTCCCTGGTCAGCGCTTACCAATCCGGCTTCAGGCATAAGAAAAGCTGTAACCTTTCGCTTCTTACCGTTTCAGATGACTTTAGAATAAATATGGACAATAATCGCGTAACCTTGCTTGCTCTTCTTGACCACTCCAAAGCTTTTGATACAGTAAATCACAAACTACTGTGTCTCAAATTAAAGAATTTATTTCAGTTCTCATCTTCGGCTGTAAACCTAATTAGCTCATATCTTTTCGGCCGATCGCAAGCAGTCAACATAGGTAATGCAATGTCAAGTTCTCTTTCCATATCTAAAGGAGTTCCTCAAGGGTCGATTCTCGGCCCCTTACTGTTTGTTTTGTACATCAACGATCTGCCGAAGGTATTAAAGCACAATAAAATTCAAATGTACGCTGATGATGTGCAATTGTATTTGAGCTGCCCACTTCACTCATTGAACCTATGCATACAGAACCACAATAGTGACCTCGTTCACGAGTGGGCAAGTAACAATGGTTTGGTCTTAAATCCAAACAAATCTCAATGTATTGCTATTTTTAAAAAACATTTTGACCTCAACGTTTATGATACAGTTTCATTGAACAGAACTGTGATACCATATGTTGATGTAGCTAAGAACCTGGGCGTACTATTTAACAGAAAACTAACGTGGGATAATCATGTCTATATCACAATTGGTAGAGTATATGCTATGCTAAGGTATTTATGGTCAACACAACACCTAACGCCGATGCCCACTAGAATGTTAATCGCGAAATCTTACTTGCTACCAACGCTGTTGTACGGTTGCGAACTCTATGCTAACAGCGATAGTCAATGCAATAAAAAACTCAACGTGCTTTACAATAACATCGCCAGGTATATATATAGCAAAAAACGGTATGACCACATTTCTCAATGGGCTCGTAAGATAACTTCAATATCACTCGACGATATGCTGATGCTCAAGTACCTTACAATACTTCAGAAAATCTTATTCCTAGAGGAGCATCCGCATCTCAAAAATCGTCTTCAAATTACTCAATCGTCACGATTACAACAGCTTTTGCACCTGAAATTCAATTCTGTCATATCTGAGCGTCAGTTTTTCGTCTATACTATTCGCCTATGGAACAAATTACCCCTTAAACTCAGGGCTATTAACGACACATTGCACTTTAAAATAGCATTACTTAGACACTATGCTGACTAAATGAAAATTTGTAACTATTTAACTCGCGTCAGTCACCTCAACTCTAACCGCTAAATTACTGTATTTTTCTTTATTCTCTTCAATCTTACACTTTATGAATAATTTTATAAGTTTTAGATGTTCAAATTTTATACATTTTAATATCGTATTATATTGTAATATTCTCAGTATCTAACACTGAAATATAACCTGTGGTTGTTGTGTTAGACTACTTTAATAAATTAATAATAAATAATGTACATGTCTATAATATTTTTAAATATTTTTTCGTCATATTTTGCAGTAAGTTTTATATACAAAATAAGTTGGTTCGCGAAACTCTTAGCAACAATTTTCGGATCGTGTGTTATGAATGTCGACACGTTGCGATGATAAAAATTGTTGCTAATGGGTCACAGAATGTTATGCATAAACGATTTGCCAAATTGTTTTAAATACGGTAACTCTTTGATGTTCGCATATGACGTTTAACTCTTATCTGTTGTACGTAGTCTTTCATTTTGTCATAATCATCAGCTGGATCGGAATGCATTTGCGTATATCTTAATAAAAATTATTGCGAGAAAGTCTAGTAATATCATCGTCCTTAACTATAATAGAGACAATTCTATATCACGAGGCTCCGAAAATAAAGATTTACTTGGGCTTCCGTTTGCAAAGCACATAAAAATTATTTTGGATGATGGCTGTGTAATAAACAAATTTAATAATAAATAATTTTTTGGGTGGGCAACATATTTACTGGTCTTTAGTTTCACAGAAGGCATTGGTCCCTTGTTTTACAAATATTAAGATGTATGAAATTCAATTTTCTTTGTTGCTCCAATCGAAGAAAACTTTTCTTTCAATTTTGTAATTTATTTTTTTTTACAAACAAATTATTTTTGAGGATTAGGTATGGTAGCATGAAATGTCACAATCTGCTTAATTGTGATGTAGTTAATATGGCGCCCGAAATGTGACAATGAAACTACCTTCTTTTTTGTATCATGGATATCGATTACTGGAGCCCTCAGCGTTGCTTACTACAATGTTGCCACTCATCAATGTCTTTTCATAAACTTACCTTTTCAACTAAAATTTTTCGTATTATAATAGATCGTAGCTAAATATAAACTACTTAATTTTCATTAAAAACCTTATTCAATAGTAAATTTCAAATATTTTAAATGTATTTTGAATAGGAACTTATAACTTTTTTACCATCTGCAAAACTGACGAAGTGGCAACCATCTATAGAAGGAAGAAATCAGCTGACACGGAAAAATAGTTCTTTCTTTAACAGAATCCGTGTAATTCCAAGTTTCAAACTTTGTTCAATATTTAAAAAAATCCAAGTTTCGTAAAAATTTCGAGCTTTAAATTAGATTTCCTAGAGAAATTCTTAGTATGCAATTTAGTAGCCCATTGAATTCTAGTAGAATGAAGTAAAAGTTTTAAATCACTGAAAATTACCGTTGATTTTTTAGTATAACCTCATAAAAAAAAAGTCTAACGGTGCCAAGTCGGATGATCTTAGTGGTCAAATGACATCCCCTCTACGGGAAATTATGTGCCTGATAATCCTATGTTGCAATGAACCTTATCCATGACACTGAATGATCAGACGCCGTCAGTTGTTTTGTGGCCTGAGCTTTGTTTGGATGGAGACATGAGAGTAACATGTTCTTAAAACGACGCGCAATCAACAATTGCTCTCTTAGAGCCGGTTACTCAATGTCTGGTTAACACTGATCTGCGGTTAAACATCTTTATCGACGTCTTCGACTCCATGCATACAACAGGGCGTCGGTAACGTCGATAACTATGTTTAACCGGAGAGTAGTGTTAACCAGACATTGGATACCCGGCCCTTAAAAGTGTTTTCCGTTAGCGGTATTTTTGTCTAGGAACGAACTTCTGTAAGTTGAGATCGTATAAACCGTTCTCGATTGGAACAGACCAATTATTTCACCTAATTGCTGCACCATGCCGCCGATGTGGTTTTCCGCGTTCATAGTTTCAAGAGCCAAAATATCTTGCTTTAATTCAACTTTGCTTTATTACTACTAACGAAAACTTTTTTATATTGCATAAAAACCTCTTGATTCATTGTAAATACGTTTTTTTCAACCAAATTGCGAAAAGACTGCAATGATTGCGCTTCTCTCTCCATTTTTTCCCGTTCGTTGAGGACAAATCTCCTCAAGTAACCTTGATTCATGCTCTCTTCGTTTGGATTAGCATCGTTATAATCAATAAAAGCTGCTGTATCACAATGAATAGCTTGTTCTAGTTGACTACGAAGCCTTCCGTATTCAAGATCTAAAAGCTTTTTCAAACCTGCTGAGAAAATACGTGTATGGCTTGGTTTTGTAACTGCCAGATCCGGAGATTTACCGTTTTGGGCACGGTGGACAGTACTTTCGCGAATACAGTCAACTGGGGCATTTTCATTCCCATTATCTTCATCCAATCCTAGAAGTGATTGTAGAGATTCAGCATTGAGGTCGGTAGATTGAAATTGCTGTCCCATACTAATTTGCTGAAAACTTGTAGGACCGAGATTTCCATCAATGTCATAAAATTTATAACCTAGCATTTCTAGAGCTATTTCAGTCAATAAATATGACATTTTTGCAATTTTTTAATGTAAACATAAGTTGTGTTATGTTAAATATTAGAGGTGTCAAACTATAGATGGAACTATCGATAGTATCGATAGGTTAAACTATCGATAGTCTAGTTGACTATAGATAGTTTAAAACATCGTACAGTTTCAAAAGTAAAAACACTATCAGCTGATTGCCAAAAATTCCTACAGCTGAGATCACCTGCTTTTTGGCATGTGCTCTTATCTTTTACAATTTCTCTCATTTCTTTTACAATTTGTTTTATTTCTATTACAATTCATTCAAAATATAAAAACACACCTACAGCCTGCCAGAAAAAAACGGTAAGAAGAAGAGGTACTTTACTTATGGAACTGTACGATGGTTTAAAACCTCTAGCACAGCCGATTTTATTTATAATGTCTCCATGTAGCTGCGCGTCAGTTTTTTAAGTTTGTCAATTTTTTATTATAAGTGATACTTTCACTGTGATTCCTCCTTGAATGGCCATTTTCTCAAGCAACCTTTTATTGAAAAGCTCCCTTTATATTTAAACGTTGCTTGAAACCATAAGGCTATGTCTGAAATAAAGCATTTCTATTATCGGTGTTTGACGTTTGTATGTTTCTTAGCTGTAAACAAATCAAAAAATTATATTACGAAATTTAAACAATATATATCATATTTGAAAATTTATAATAAGCAACAATTAAACAAGGCAACAGTGATTTTGTTGCGGCAAATGATAAAGCTGTTTTTGATAGACGTTTTTATGCTGATTACGAGTGCGTAAGCATAAAGATTCCATCAGCTCCAGATTTTGAGAAAAACGAGATCAAAATGTCAAAAAATCGCGTTTTTGCACTATTTTAGAAGGTCTAGCACAAAAAACAAAAGGTGATAGAACTTTTAACTGGGGCTTAAATTAAAGCTATAACTCTCGGCTACTATCCCTGCACCTTGACCTGATGGTCACTAAAAGTCATTTATTGAACAGTATAAAAATACTGGAATAAATACTGTGCTATTAATAATAATATCCCAACGGTTTTTACCCTCCATTCCCGCCAATCCGCACGAGGGGCGCAGTCCGCATGACGTACGGAACCAATATTTT